GCGGAAGCGGCCTTGGAAAATATAGTCTAAAACGAACAACTATTGGAGAGCCGGATATGCGTCAAGCAGATGAATTTAAGACGATAACGGATAGTAAATCACTACACACTTTTATGCAAAACTCAGATGTGATTCACTCGTACTATTTCCTTATTCCAATGATAAAAAATTACACCAAAACTAGCAGCAAAATTAAGGCAATTTTAGTTCAGCACTTTTGTCGAACAGTTGGTGTGCACAAAACTAGCAGCAAAATTAAGGCAATTTTAGTTCAGCACTTTTGTCGAACAGTTGGTGTGCACAAATACCTTAAATGATATTTGTGTTGAATGAGTGATTGAAAAAGCCTTAGTACAGTATTTCTATTGTACTTAGTAGTTAAAAACAGTGTTTCACCAACTCACTCAATCAATACTACAATTTGACAAAATCACTTATTCTAGAATCACTTAATTTTTAAGCGGTAATTGAAAATGCAGAAAATAAAGGAACACAAGATTTGATGAGGCAGTTCCCCCAGTCGTCCTCGCGTTGGGGTACGTCTGCCCTCAATTCTACAATGAGAATTGAGATATGTATTGAATAGATATCACCTGTTTGGTAGAATAGTTATACACAAGAATCGATAGACAATTGATACAAACAATCTTAATGTTGCTGATAATTTCTACCACTTCTTGCCCCTTGATTCAAGATGAATCAAGTCCTCCAATTTGATGTGAATGACCTCCGATTGCAGCCACCTTATTGACAACTCTTCCGTTGATCAAACCTTCGGCACGGCTGATCTTAGACACACCCAAATTGAACCCGGAACGTCTTCAACCTTTCAACGCCCTAGCTACTAGATTGATCAACCTTCCGCTAATCAATCACCTTCGCACTCGCTTGATTGTTGAACCGACGATTCCGTAACAAAAGCCTTCAAAACCTGTAGTCTTGATAGGTAAAACCTCAAAGGTTTTCTCCCAAGAAACACCTGCACCAGCTTCCACTCGAACCGGATCTTCAATCACGCGTTCGAACCTTATCACCGTCGAGCAAACCACAAACCGCAGCAAAAAATTGATTATCTGTAATTTGAGGATTTGTGAGTTGATTGAACGATGAAGATGAAGAACACTGATGCACCTCTTTCACGTTTCTTGACCTGAACACTTTCTCACAATGCTTTCAAAAATGTGTTCTTAAAAAAAATGTTGTTGAAAATGTTAGTTGTTAAAATTGAAAAGACAGCTATTTATAGTAATATACAAAACAGACAGTTGACAGATCAATGAAACATAGCAGAATTTCTGTTTCTGCGCGCGAACGGTCGACCATAGGGTCGGCGTGCGCTGAGCCGTGTGACACTCAAACTGTCATGCGCCGAGTCAGCGGTCGACGCATGATCTTCATGCGCTGACCCGTGAGATTCTTAAACCTGCATGCGCCAAGTTAACGGTCGACGCATGGTTCCATGCGCTGACCCGTGTGAACTGAATGAAACTGTGTGCTGACGGTATGGTTGACTCATAGCTACAAAACCTGCAAAAATTGATATGTTTGTTGTTTCGTGCATCTTGTCACGACCAAACATTAGTCACATATATTGCCAATGAAATATGATGATTTAAAAGGATATAGGAAGGATGTAATATGTTAAGTATTGCATGACGATTCTGATTCATCCGAGGTTGTACTTTGTCATCATCGTAAGTATGCATGACGACTCTGATTCATCCGAGGTTGTACTTTGTCATCATCGTAAGTATGCATGACGACTCTGATTCATCCGAGGTTGTACTTTGTCATCATCGAAACTTGAGAACGTATGTTGTGAGACAGTTTTCCCTCACATTGACTTGGTTCGCTGCTGCTCGCTTCGCTGCCATTCGCCCAACGAACCTGCGAACTCAGAACTCCCATGGTTGTCCAAAAGCCCAAACCTCACAAACCGACCGATTTAATCCAAATCAGTTCCAGTAGTACAACCCACTCATCACCTGACTATACTACACCGTCTATTCCAAATTCTAACCGATAAAACTCAGTTTCTACCGATTAAATCAACTTCCGACTTAGAAATGGAAACATAGAAAACAATCCAACAAATCCAATCTAGCACACACATGATCATACACATTATGAAGATGATAAAACTTCTCACCCTTACCTGATTAATCGCAAGCTAAGGTTGATTCTTGATGATTCTAGGTTTTGCTCCACTTTCTCTTCTTTTCTCTCCTCCTCTTTTCCTTCTCTTGTTTTTCTTCTTAATGTTTCTATCTTTCTCTTTTCTTTCTATATCACATATTCTATTTCTTTCCTCCCAAATTCTTTCCACACACTTATCAATTAATTCTCACAAAATATCCATTTAATATTATCACTAATACCCAAAATACCCCCAACCTATTTTTACCCGAAACTCTCAAAGTCGGCAAAAATAGCTCAATATGTAAACATAACATATTATCACACAATTCCACATAAATAAAATAATCACTTAAATAAATCAAATAAGGACTCAATAAAAATGGGAATTCATAATCAGGGCGTTACATTTGGAGGTATGTCAAGCAACATAATGAGTTGAGGCGATGACATACCACTTTGATGTCTATCCCCGACATGTTAAAGAGAGTCCAAGTGAATAGGTCAACATTCTTAATGAGTTGGTCGACTAGTTCTGATTCCTCTTCTTTGGACAATGGAGTACCTATCTTCATTACCTGGTGAGCGAGATAACCTATCTGGACCTCTTTCAAATCTTTCGTGGGTGTTAGTCTTTTTGTTTTTGCACCCAATATGAGGTTCTAACACCCAAAATCGGTGTTTGGAACTTCGAAAGGAGGGACATCAACATGGGTGAGCTTTTCTCTGGATGTCTTCAAGCTAGTTTGGTAGCATTCTCGAGCGGTTTATTGGTCCCCTTGAATTGTGTTGACTCTCCCATCAGGGAGCTAGTATTTAAGGACAGGTACAAGGTTAATATGACTTCCCCCGGGGCGTTTATAGTCGGCCGCCCCAGAATGATATTATACAGTGACAGGGTATCTAAGATAAGGTAACTGACGTTAATCACCTTGGCGTTCGATCCTTTGCCACATGAGGTTTTCAGGGTTACATGACCTATTATTTGTACTTATTTGCCTGCTAACCTCGTCAAAGAACCATTGAACAATTTTTTTTCGTTCAGATCAAGTTGCAACTTCTGGTAAGGCATCTCAAAATAAGATGTCAGCGGAGCTACCAAGATCCATCAAGACGATCTTGATATCCCAATTTCCATGTTGCATTGTGATAACTAAGGGATCATCGTTGTGAGTTGTTGTCAACGGCGTCCTCCTTAGAGAAGATGATATTAATCTTTATTTTCTTTTGAGAGCTTCTAGGGAAACTAGGGAATATTACATTTGCTACAAACACTTGCCTTACTTATTTCCTTTGGGAGGATTTTGAGTTGCTTACACCTGTGAAACCTCCGTCTATGGTGTTTGTATTGTAAGTTAAGGTATTGTCTGTCATCTTCGTGGGGAATGTGGAGGAAGTTAGACTAAGAGTGCGGTCCAAGTTAGTTTTACTGAAACCCCGCGGTAGGCATCATTTTACTCAGAACCAACCCAATGTATTTTAAGGCCTAAGGCGTGTAAAGAATTTTAATTTTTATCATTCTTAAAAAAACTTGTGTATATAATTTTTAGTTTGTATTTTAAATTTTATCATACAGTTTAGTTTATATATAATTGTTATCATTTTTTTTTATTTTTTAAAAAAGAATTTTAGAATTTATTTTAAACAAATTTTAAGAAAAGTTATAAAGTTTGATTGATTTCATAAAACTATGTTTTTTAAAACAGTAAATTGTTAAGTACGTGAGAGAAATTGCTTTAAAAATAGCATAAAATCTAGACTCACCAAGATCGAACTTAGATACCACAACTTGCTGGATCATGTTATCCACCACTCGAATACTAAGTTTTAATCAATGCATTTCTTAAACGTTTTTTAATTATATAGTTTTAGCGGCCTGATTTTGTTAGCATTTGAGGCCTATTTTAATGGTCCGAAATAATAAGGCCTGAGGCGATGACCTCACTCTCCTTGACTTGGGTCAGCCTTGATTATACTGGTCAAAAAGCATATGTGTGTGTTTCTCCTACAAGGACAAAGAGATTCAGAGGCCTTAGTAGGTATATAACAATTTAGGGTGGTTAAGACTTGCCAACGACGACAAGAAGCCTTATATGACAGTGTTTTATGGTTATATGAGTTCTGCTCACATGAGGTGAGAGACTTTGTAGACGGTGGATATGCTCAATATGTGTTATGATCTAGTTAAGTGTTATACTTAGGGTGTAAAGAATTGTCATTTAAAAAGGATCACTGCAATTCAATCAATTGTAGACCGTCAAATTTCTATTTTCAAAAGAGATATGGATTAGTTAATAATGCTGACTTGTCTCTGTCCTAGGAACATCCCTACACACGTTTTTCATATCTGGACGATACGAAGACATGTGAGGGCGAGGTAATACCTCACCCTTGACCGATATGTTGTCGTCTCTCCTTAAGTATTCTATAACAATCACTCTAATAGAACTCTTTTACAAATATAACATTACATATTAAAAATACTAGTAACAAATATTATTGGAATATTAGTTAAAATATCAAAAGACATAATGTATGAATTAAAAAGTGTGTATTTATTACTTCAAATTTTGCATGAAAACATTTTGGAAAATTAATATTAGTATTAAATGAAGTTAATCTCTTCTTATTATACTCCTTATTATTGGGCGACAATCTCAATTACCGTTAAAGTAACCAACACGTTTCGCCCCATTATTTCGACACCTTTAAGATTTCAATGCTTTTACACTCTTACGTATCACTCTTCTCTTTCTAACCCACAAAACCTTAAACCTTCTTCAACAAACAAAACAAAAGCTACTATTTCTGTTTTCTTGTCATTTGCACTAAAAAAGGCTTATTTTCTGTGTTAAGACAAGAGAATGAGCAATAAGTTGAATTTGTTATTGTGTGTTTTGGTTTTGTTTTTGGAGTGTTGTTTGGGTAGGTTTTTGGTGGAGAAGAATAGCTTGAGAATCACTTCTCCAAAATCGCTGAAAGGTTCATATGAATGTGCAATTGGAAATTTTGGAGTGCCTCAGTATGGTGGAACGTTGATTGGTTCTGTGGTGTATCCAAATGTGAATCAGAAAGGATGCAAGAACTTCGCTGATTACGATGCTTCGTTTCAGTCCAAGCCTGGAGTTTTTCCCACCTTTCTTCTTGTTGATCGTGGAGGTTAGATTTTTGTTGGTTCTCTTAATCTCTTGTTGCATGTTTGAATTGGTAGTGAGATTGGTGAAATCATTGTGGTATTGTGATTTTGTTGAAGTTTCAATGTGTAGTTTCGCTGAAATTGTGATGGTTCATAGTGATTATGTCAATGACATTGTTAATATTAACATGCAAATAATGTTTCTGAATCTTATAAAATGTGTTGAAAAATTGATCAATGATTTGTAAATTATTCAAGACTTTTGTGGTTGGTTTTGCTTGCTTGATTGTGGTGTTTTGAATATGTTGTGGATTGGAATTGTTTTCTTTTCTTCTATGCTATTTATATAGTTAATCTGCGTAGCTTGTTGTCCGTTTGCCTTCTTTTTCTGTATAAGCATTCATTAAAACTGCTAAAGGAATTGGTTTCTAAATCGTTTTCGTAAGATATAGCACTTCTCTTTTCTAAATCTATTCACCGGTGATTTTGGTAGATTGCTACTTCACTTTGAAGGCGTGGAATGCGCAAAATGGTGGAGCAGCGGCTATTCTTGTAGCTGATGACAAAGAAGAAACACTAATCACCATGGACACTCCTGATGAAGGGAATGTTGCAAAGGATGATTATGTGAATAAGATTAATATTCCTTCTGCTCTTATCAGCAAATCCTTGGGGGAAAGAATCAAGGAGGCTCTCTTGAATGGTGAGGTTGTTCATATAAATCTTGATTGGAGAGAGGCTCTTCCACATCCGGACGACAGAGTTGAGTATGAGTTATGGACGAATAGCAATGACGAATGTGGTCCAAAGTGTGACAATCAAATTAATTTTGTGAAAAGCTTTAAAAGTGCGGCTCAGCTACTTGAGAAGAAGGGGTTCACTCAATTTACTCCTCACTTTATAACTTGGTATTGCCCTAACGATTTTCTCTTAAGCAATCAATGCAAGTCTCAGTGTATAAACAACGGACGATACTGTGCTCCGGACCCTGAGAATGATTTCAATAAAGGGTATGACGGAAAAGATGTCGTTCTTCAGAATTTACGACAAGCTTGCTTCTTTAAAGTTGCAAATGAAAGTGGAAGGCCTTGGCAATGGTGGGACTATGTGACCGACTTTTCAATCCGTTGCCCCATGAGGGAGAAAAAATACACAGAAGAATGTTCAGATCAAGTAATTAAATCTCTTGGTAGGTTGAGCATTTTGTGCCTCTTTGTATACACGTTGCATAATGCTTTTTATTACACATAATTCTAAGATATATATGACTGTCCCTCCTCGCATCCCCCTCTTCTCTTCCATTTACTTGTCAGGTGTTGATCTTGAAAAGATAAATAACTGTGTTGGGGACCCTGATGCTGATGTTGAAAATCACGTTCTCAAAGCCGAACAGGATTTACAGGTTGGTTTCCTAAAAATGCAATTTTTTTACAGCATTCCTTCTTGTCCACTTTTTCGGCCATTGTGTTGTTTCGTGATTGTATTGCATTTTGTTCCAACTTTGGTCTCAGATCGGCAAAGAGTCTCGGAGTGATATTACTATACTGCCTACTCTTGTTATAAACAACAGACAATATAGAGGTATGAACTATGTGGCACCGACACTTCTGAAAAAAGGCATATGTGGCGGACACCTGCACCGACACTTGAGATTACGTTTAATTTATTCATTTTTTCAAATTATTATCGATGTCACCATGTCAGTGTCGGGGTTGTTTTCGAGGTGTCCGTGCTTCATGGAGTATGAGGTAGCTTCTGTAGAATATATCCAAACCACTATTAAATTTTACTTTAGAATTGAAGTTTTTAACTCCTTTTAGGTAAGTTGTCAAGACCAGCAGTTCTCAAGGCAATATGTTCAGGTTTCCAAGAGACCACCGAACCATCGATTTGCTTAACTTCAGGTCTTCATTTCACAAACTCTTTAATTTCAAATTTTGGTAATTGATGATGTGTAATAACCAGTTAAGAATTTTCTTGATTTTGATCTATGTAAAATCATAAACGGATAGAAAATTGACTTATTGATATTCGATCTTGTTCAGAAGCTAAAAATGTTGCTGATTATTATTGCAGACATGGAAACAAACGAGTGTTTGGAAAACAATGGTGGCTGTTGGCAAGATAAATCTGCTAACATTACTGCATGCAGGGTATTTGGTTAACTGAACCTTGTCAGGCACATCATTGCAAAAACTGTATCGTGTTTTTGGTTCTTTCGATTTTAACCGTCAGCTTGTGTTTTTCTTATTATAGGACACTTTTCGAGGAAGAGTATGTGATTGCCCTATTGTGAAAAATGTGAAGTTTGTTGGGGATGGATATACTCACTGTGAAGGTAAACACAAACCTAATGAGCTTCTCGATGTAACTTTCCAAACAGAACGATTTTAATATCTTTTTCTTGTTTTGTTTCATTCTCATTGGGAATTTGAATTTCTTAACAGCTTCAGGAGCCTTAAGCTGTGAATTCCACAATGGAGGTTGTTGGAAACAATCCCACGGTGGAAGGCTTTACTCTGCTTGCCATGTAAGCTATCTTGTTCATCTTATGTTTTCTACACGGTTTTCGTTACCAGGGGGAAAGTAAGATCAATATGCTAGATATAATTAACTGTCATATATTTCCTTTTTTCTTAACTGATAATGCAGGATGACTATAGAAAAGGTTGCGAGTGTCCGTCAGGGTTCAAAGGCGATGGAGTCTTGTCATGTGAAGGTACTTACGCGTCATTGAGAGTCGCTACTCCTCTTGGCGAACTAGTGCATATTGGTTGCATGCGGACCAGATTCCGGCTATTGTTTTCGTTAATATATTGATTATGTTGCAGATATTGACGAGTGCAAAGAAAAGTTGGCCTGTCAGTGTCCAGAATGCAAATGCAAAAATACATTTGGGAGTTACGAGTGCAAATGCAATAGCGGTTGGCTCTACTCACGAGAGAATGACACGTGCATTGGTGAGTCTCTTATATTTTCTCTATCATTCTATCACTTCCATAACCAATGGTGTGACTTGTGAGGAATAATCTGCTTCAGTTTTTCTAATTATAGTAGATATCTTTTAAGAATGATGTATTTTTTTCTCAATCATTTGGTATATTATAATTTATAAATGCAGGTAGATTTACTTCTTCAATGGCGAGTATTTGGATGATTATCCTTGTCGCGGTTATTACTCTTTCAGGAGGATATGCGTTTTACAAGTACAGAATCCAGGTACGATTGTTGCAGGCTTGATGTTTTGTTCTTTTAACAATATATCAATACCAATGCCACATTGAGAAAGCTGAATAGTTGTGAATATTTTGGTACAAACTAAGTGTCACAACCTCGAGTCGAGTAGGATCACATGAGCGGCAAAACTCATGTCTCAAGAGTTTGAACATGAGATCACTGAAACTGTTTGTTTTCTTTATGCAGAGATACATGGACACTGAGATACGGGCAATAATGGCGCAATACATGCCGTTGGATAATCAACCTCTTATTATTCCTAATCAAGAAGTTCATCATGATATCTAGGAGATGATAGTGATCTTTTTCTGAGAAGAATATTAGTCTTCTCAGAAAGATAGAGATGATTTGTTTCTTTAGCTATATCACTTTTGTAAAGTTGAATAATGTGGTTGTGAACTGTCCTGATTTTCTTTTGAGATAGTTGTAGTATTTATATGAAATTTTAAGCCAAAGTTTGATAACTTTAAGTTGTGTAACTTTTGTTTTAACAAAGGTGTTGAGTAACTTAAAAAATATGTACGTGTTGTATACATCAATTCAAAAGTGTTGAAAGAAAGATAAAAACTATAGGTTGTTTTTATATTTTTCTCACTTTAAAAATTTGGAGGTGAACTAAGAGGATGAAATAATGAAGTTGAAATAACGGAGAACAACAAATAGATCACCAAGTTGAAGCTGGATTTAATAAATATATATGGAGATTGAACTCCGACGCGCCTTAACACATCACACATATGCTCAATTTCATAACCACACAATTTCAAAATATTCTAGATTCCAAGGTTTGGATTTTCTACGAAGATTGAAATTTGGATGCATCTGTTTAAGTATTTGGTTATTTCCCTCTCCTTTCCCTTTTGAATTTCTGTAAACAGAGAAAAACTAGAGTTTCTCCTTACTTCTCTGAGCTTATTCCATTATTTTCAAGTATTCTCAGAGCTTTATACTCCATAGCATTGAATATTAGCATGTCTAAAGTTCTACTCCACTACATTGTCTCTAAATTTATATTTTATTGCATTAGTAAATTACTCATTCCTTTTTGTGAGGGAAAACTGTCTCACAACATACGTTCTCAAGTTTCGATGATGACAAAGTACAACCTCGGATGAATCAGAGTCGTCATGCATACTTACGATGATGACAAAGTACAACCTCGGATGAATCAGAATCGTCATGCAATACTTAACATATTACATCCTTCCTATATCCTTTTAAATCATCATATTTCATTGGCAATATATGTGACTAATGTTTGGTCGTGACAAGATGCACGAAACAACAAACATATCAATTTTTGCAGGTTTTGTAGCTATGAGTCAACCATACCGTCAGCACACAATTTCATTCAGTTCACACGGGTCAGCGCATGAAGGTCATGCGTCGACCGTTAACTTGGCGCATGCAGGTTTAAGAATCTCACGGGTCAGCGCATGAAGATCATGCGTCGACCGCTGACTCGGCGCATGACAGTTTGAGTGTCACACGGCTCAGCGCACGCCGACCCTATGGTCGACCGTTCGCGCGCAGAAACAGAAATTCTGCTATGTTTCATTGATCTGTCAACTGTCTGTTTTGTATATTACTATAAATAGCTGTCTTTTCAATTTTTTAAAAAAAAAAAAGAACATTTTTGAAAGCATTGTGAGAAAGTGTTCAGGTCAAGAAACGTGAAAGAGGTGCATCAGTGTTCTTCATCTTCATCGTTCAATCAACTCACAAATCCTCAAATTACAGATAATCAATTTTTTGCTGCGGTTTGTGGTTTGCTCGACGGTGATAAGGTTCGAACGCGTGATTGAAGATCCGGTTCGAGTGGAAGCTGGTGCAGGTGTTTCTTGGGAGAAAACCTTTGAGGTTTTACCTATCAAGACTACAGGTTTTGAAGGCTTTTGTTACGGAATCGTCGGTTCAACAATCAAGCGAGTGCGAAGGTGATTGATTAGCGGAAGGTTGATCAATCTAGTAGCTAGGGCGTTGAAAGGTTGAAGACGTTCCGGGTTCAATTTGGGTGTGTCTAAGATCAGCCGTGCCGAAGGTTTGATCAACGGAAGAGTTGTCAATAAGGTGGCTGCAATCGGAGGTCATTCACATCAAATTGGAGGACTTGATTCATCTTGAATCAAGGGGCAAGAAGTGGTAGAAATTATCAGCAACATTAAGATTGTTTGTATCAATTGTCTATCGATTCTTGTGTATAACTGTTCTACCAAACAGGTGATATCTATTCAATACATATCTCAATTCTCTTTGTAGAATTGAGGGCAGACGTACCCCAACGCGAGGACGACTGGGGGAACTGCCTCATCAAATCTTGTGTTCCTTTATTTTCTGCATTTTCATTTACAGCTTAAAAATTAAGTGATTCTAGAATAAGTGATTTTGTCAAATTGTAGTATTGATTGAGTGAGTTGGTGAAACACTGTTTTTTAACTACTAAGTACAATAGAAATACTGTACTAAGGCTTTTTCAATCACTCATTCAACACAAATATCATTTAAGGTATTTGTGCACACCAACTGTTCGACAAAAGTGCTGAACTAAAATTGCCTTAATTTTGCTGCTAGTTTTGGTGTAATTTTTGTGCACACCAACTGTTCGACAAAAGTGCTGAACTAAAATTGCCTTAATTTTGCTGCTAGTTTTTGGTGTAATTTTTGATCATTGGAATAAGGAAATAGTACGAGTGAATCACATCTGAGTTTTGCATAAAAGTGTGTAGTGATTTACTATCCGTTATCGTCTTAAATTCATCTGCTTGACGCATATCCGGCTCTCCAATAGTTGTTCGTTTTAGACTATATTTTCCAAGGCCGCTTCCGCATTTGAAAACAATTTTGAAAACCAATTTTATTGGTAGCGCCACTCAAATTTTTAAAAGGGATCTATTCAACCCCCCCCCTTCTAGATCCGTGCCTTAGTCTAACAAGTGGTATCAGAGCCTGGTTCTCCGGTGCTTCAAATACAACATTGATAGAATAATGGCTAACGAACCAAAAGGGGCGTACAATAGAGCTCCCGTTTTTAACGGTGAAAATTATAGCTATTGGAAAGACTGTATGCGGGTGCACATTAATTCCATAGATAGAAAGATATGGAACGTTATTCTCAATGGTCCGATTGAAATAACCATGACAAATGAGAATAACGAAGTTGTGCCAAAGCCCGAAGCACAATGGACCGACGACGATGAGCGAAAGTATAATTACGATTGGAAAGCTAAGAACATTCTAATCTCCTCATTAGGTGTAGATGAATACTACCGTGTATCCCATTGCCCTACGGCTAAGACTATGTGGGATGCACTACAAATTGCCCATGAGGGGACAAACGATGTTAAGTTGGCTCGAATCAACACTCTTATACAAGAGTTTGATCTTTTTTTTATGGAGCAAGGGGAAACCATTGCTGACATGCAAAAGAGATTTACTCATCTCATAAACAGATTACATTCACTAGGAAGACCTATTTCCAATGATCTTGCTACTAATAAAGTTTTGAGATGTCTTAGCAGGGAATGGCAGCCGAAAGTGACCGCCATCAAAGAGGCAAATGATCTTACGGTATTAGACCTGACTACATTGTTTGGCAAACTACAAGAGCATGAACAGGTACTCTTGAGTCTTGACCAACAAGAAAGGAAAGAAAAGAAGGACAAAGTAAAGATGAGTGAAAAAAAGTCCATAGCTCTTAAGGCTTCTTCCTCGAAGTCTAAAGCAAAAGAGCAAAGTGATTATTCTTCAAGCGACGACGAAGAAGAAGACATAAATGAGGACATGGGGCAGTTCGTTAAACGGTATAACCGGTACGTGAGAAAGAACGGCATCCAACATTCGGAAAAGAACCTGGTAAATTTCCGAAGGCAATCAAGGTTCTCCAAAGATGACAATCAAAAAGGCAAAAAGACTAGAGGAACGTGCTATAAATGTGGAAAGCCCGGTCACTACAAACCGGACTGTCCAATGAACAACAAGGGAAAAGAAATGGAACAATCGAAGTCACATAAGAGAGCATCAAAGCCTAGGAGGGCGTACATCGCATGGGAAAGCGACAGTGATTCTTCCTCCTCTAATGAAAGCTCTAGTGATGAAGAAGAGTCCGTGAATCTATGTCTCTCCGCAAATCAGAAAAAGAAAAAGAAACAGGTACGTCACTCTAGATATAATATGTCATCTAATATGTCTCATTCCGAATTACAAACCGCATTCGATGTTTTACACAAGGAAGCAACTGAAGCCTTTAAGAAACTTGCTTCTAATAGAAGAATTTTTACATATTTAGAGCACAAAGTCTTAGAGTCCGAAAAGAAATTAGAGGACCTTAAGGCTTCCATTGTGAAAGATAATGAATCGGATTGTAAGGACAATAGTAATCCTTTCAACTTTGGTTGTGATACTTGTCATATTTGGCAAGGTGAGGTTAGAAACCTTAAGGCCAAATTAGACAAGGCACTTGAACCTAAAATTACATTTGCAATCGATAAAAAGGATTTTAGAAAAAGTATGATAAACCCATATCAAAAATATGCATATGTAATTAGGGATCAAGCAAGTGAAAGTGATTCTAATGTTGACTTTGTATGCTTTTACTGTTGCAAGAAAGGCCACTCCATTGGTAAATGTCGATTTAGGAGATTTCTTGTTCCTAAAGGCATCTACCAATGGTTGCCCAAACGCAACCGTCTTGTCGCTAACCCATTAGGACCCAATATGCCATTGGGTACCTCCCTTTTCTAAGTTATATTTTGACAGGTGAAATGTGTCGAGTCCACCGAGAGAAGATGGGTTCTTGATAGTGGGTGCTCAAGGCACATGTCTGGAGACATATCCTTATTCATAGACTTCGTGGCTAAGAAGAAAGGGTATGTAACATACGGTGATAACAACCGCGGAGCGATACTAGGTAAAGGTAGTATAGGTAATCCCTCCTCTACTACAATTTCCGATGTGTTGCTTGTCGAAAACCTTAAACATAATCTCCTTAGCATTAGCCAATTATGCGACAAAGGTTACAATGTTTCCTTTTCAAAAGATTGCTGCAAAATTGTGCATGAAAGTGATAAGAAGAATGTGTTTATTGGTTTTAGAATAAAGCATATAGGATTTATAATAAAAGATTACTAGCTGTTGAAGAGTCTGTGCACGTTACGTTTGATGAGTCCTATCCGAGAAATGTCGGAAAGGATAGTGTTGTTCATGGTGCAGGTACATCCACAGAAGACATACTCAAAGGTGGCGAAACGGGGATTGATCAACCCGATAGAGTCAAAATTGAGGAGGATAAG